TTCCCTGCTGCATGACTTCCTGTTCTAGAGGGTCTCTTCACCCTCCCCAGTGGCATTTTGAGGGGTGCAGGATTAGGGGGGAACTGATGGGGGGAAATGGCCAAATTTGATGTACGTCTGGATCTCTCCACTGCAGAATAGCGTTCTTTCAGCCATGATGGTGATTGAAATCCACCTGAGGAGCCAGTTTAGATCTAATAACCTTTCACAAATGCATCTGACCTTAAATTGAATTTCCTGCTCAGACTAATTTGATAGGAATATAGCAATTCAACCTATTTTCAGGGTAAAACTGCCACCCACCGATTGTTACACGTTGTTTCTTCAACTACCAGGTTTAGTTTTGGCTGGTCCTGCTAATCTGTAGTACTGTATGGCCAGTATCATAAGGTCACCTGAAACTAGACCCTGTATGGCAAAGGTTAAATGTCTGCATGTTCCCTGGGATAAATGGCTGTGTGCCATAAACTCCTCTCCGAGGGTGGCTAATTATGGGCATGACAGAAAAAGTTAAGGGGCTCATGCTCTTTAAGGAACTCTCCAAATCATTAGAATGTCCCCTTCGTGGATACATATGCTTCCTTCTGGCTTGTTCTCTACATTTTAAGACCTTACATTTGAACGTGGTCTCTTTTTTTCTGGGTTTGTGTTCTTTATTTAACTAAAACATGGGCAGCAACTTCATAAGTAAGCGTTTTGGAGAAAGAATTTCTGGTTGGTTCTGTGATATGAATGTATAGGGCATGCTACATTTACTTTATATACATACATAGAGGGAGAGACATGGAGAAGAAAAAGGTACCCAGCTGTGGGCTCAGTGCTTGTTACACATGGTTTGGTTTTGTGCAGGTTTTCTTAGACGCATGCTCTAGGTCAGTGATGGCAAACCTTTTAGAGACCGAGTGCCCAAACTGCAACCCAAAACCCACTTATTTATCGCAAAGTGCCAACACGGCAATTTAACCTGAATACTGAGGTTTTAGTTTAGAAAAAACAACCCATACATTAACATAAGACAAACAAAGTAAGGAAAGCAATCCCAAATGCTTTCATTTACTTAAAATTATTTGGCAGAGAATTCCACACTTTAATGGCGGTCTGGGCCTGGCAGGGGGCGATGGCACGCGTGCCCACTGAGAGGGCTCTGAGTGCCGCCTCTGGCACGCGTGCCATAGGTTTGCCACCACTGCTCTAGGTTAAGGATATAGCTAGTCTGAGCAATTTCCCTTTTTTAGCACCTGGCACAGCTTGCTTGGGTCGTGCGGGTCTGCTTGATGTCTACCTGTAGACCATTCATTAGGCTTCTCTGGTAGGTCTGTCTCTGGTCATGATGCATTGTAGTGTAGGTGTTATGAGTAAAATGTCTTGAGTGAAGTACAAATTCTGTGACAGTAGAAACAAATCCTTATTTTTCCGTATCACTTGTTCTTCATCCTACACCATACTGTGCTGAAATACGATGCCTTATTGGGAGGGTGGGGTGGAGGTTAGAGGGGATACAAAACTATTTTTTCTGGGATAGTGGAAGCTTGCCAAAATTGTATTGTCGAGTTCTTTACTGCCTGTTTGGTCAATTAATAGGACTGACCCTGGCTGAACAGTCAAACCCAACACTGCATTGTGAAGTTATATCTGCTTGGTAAAGAAATGAGAGACTGCGTGGGAAACCCCTGATCTTGGAAAGGGTTTAGCAAGAGTGTATAATTATCTTCATGGAGCTGCGGTGGTTCAAGTGCTTAAGACGCTGAACTGCAGGCTGTGGAAGGTCGGTAGTTCAGCAGTTCGAGACCTGGGTGTCACATGACGGAGTGAGCTCCCGTCTCTAGTTCCAGCTCCTGCCAACCTAGCAGTTCGAAAGCAAGAAATTGCAAGTAGATAAATAGGTACTGCTTCGGTGGGAAGGCAACAGCGTTCCGTGCGCTTTGATGTTTAGTCATGCCGGCCACATGACCACGGAAACGTCTTCGGACAGCACTGGCTCTTTGGCTTTGAAACGGAGATGAGCACCGCAACCCTAGAGTCGGATGCGACTGGCTTTCGAGCAAGGGAACCTTTACTTATAATTATCTTCATGCTCTCCTTACTGTGGAATGTGACTTGTCAATATAACAGTGGAAAATGAAACACTGTATGGAAAGTGTAGGGAGAGGATATTTTATTTTAGAACATGGCATTCGCTTTGGGTATTGAAAGTGTGATCCCTCTAATTGACATTGCTTCACGGAGAATGCTGTTCTGTACAGTTGTCTTAAGGTGCATGAAAATGCTGTTTTGGGGAAACGACACACAAGACTTGTATCCTCTGCACTCTCACAACATGACACTTCAATGCCTCTAAAGTGTTTGTCCTGAAATGAGTTGGTTTATAGTTTGCCTGAGGCAACTCTAGCTCTAATGATTTTGGTTCCTCTGTTTTGTATCTTGCCTTTGGGGATTTCTTGAGGTAGTCGGTAGGAAACAACCCCTTGTCTTGTACCGTGTTTTCCCGAAAATAAGACACTGTCTTATATTTATTTTTTCTCAAGAAGACACACTAGGGCTTATACCACAAATGTATAGAAATCCTGCTAGGGCTTATTTTTTGGGTAGGTCTTATTTTCGGGAAAACAGGGTAGTTACAGTATTTGAATAAGGCATTTCAATTCCTAATTTTTTTTCCATATTGAATGGGAAGGGTGAATGTTCTCTAAACGTTTCAGAGTTATACATTTCTGTATGGTAGTGTTTTTGGTCTAGACATGTGGATTCCAGTCCTTGCCTTTGTTTTCTTGTACTTTAATTTTGGAGTGTACAGGAATTTGTTGAAACCAGTTTTGATGTCTCCATTTGAGTTGGCTTTATAAATTGTACGCACCTAGTGTTATGTTTCAACCCAGAATTTCTTCACAGCGCATTTTTATTCAGAAGACTACAAGTACTTAAAACTGTGGTGTGAAAATGTTTACTAAACATTATTAAATGTATAGGAGTATTTCTAGGAAGTATTGGCATGGAGCTCTTTTTAAGCCTGTTAAGAGGAGGTCCTCCATCCCATGAGAAGAGATGCGTTATAATGTGTTCAATTGAATGTACTTGTAATATATTGGAAAAGGTAAAATATTGATCAATTTAGCTAAGCCTTTTAAATAAAAACTGCTTTTTTAAAAAAACAGTGAAATCAAGCCATTTAAATGTTTAAAGTCAACCGTGTACAGAATACCATAGGTGCATTAATGTGTTCATAAAAGTTTTGGTTTGTTATGCAGAAGAAGTTCTTTGTCTGGCACTGTTTTCATTGTTCTTTATACATGCCAAGCTATGCATTCTGAAGAGAAGAATAGAGAGACTTTAGGAAGCAATGATCCGCACAGAAGAAGCTTCTTAGTACTGAAAACTTTTAACTGGACATAACCCAAGACTCAAGAAGGAAGAACGGAAGCAAGAGTGAGCAAGAATACCTTGGCGAACCCAGAGTACCACAATTAAGACTTTGAAATGCACCGAAAAGGACCTAGAAATAGAGCAATTCAACCTTCATTGCCTCTGTCGTGAAGTTAAGAAGCTTATACCTATTTTCATTGTGATTCATCCATGCTTAGGAAGAAAAAAAATGAAAAGATGAAGAAACGTTGAAAATGAATATAGAATAATAAGACTACGTCAAGTGTAGTGCCAAGTTTTGGAGTAGGAAACTGGGATCAGAGATGAAGTGGTTCAGGCTTGGAGAACTTACCAGAGTGAACAAAGAAGGTCCGTGTACAGCAGACCCACAAACTACAATATGAAAAGACAGTTTCAGTAGTTCTCTTCCTTTTGCTGGGTGGACACTTACAGATGCTTACAAGTATGGACACTGGGGATCAGCTGGTCACAAAAACAACGGAATGCACCACATCATCGGGACTTCTACAAACTGGATGTTGTTTGTGGCACCAGGAACACCTTAAAGTGAATACTAACAAATGAACTGATAATTATGAAAAGACTATAATTAAGAAGAATTTTAATATTGGACATGTGGATGGCGACAGACTACATATGAAACCTGTGATGCACTTTGAGTTGGTGTGTTAAGGTAAAATATGATTTTTATACTAGAGTGCTGTTGCTAATTCTGGTTAGTTTTGACATTATTGTATTGTGTGTAATGTCCACAGTATTTTACATTATCGCTGAAAATATATTTCTAGCTTACTAATGGTAATAGTTGAGGTGGAGTTTGTTAAGCTTCAAGTCCCAAGCATAAAGGGTATCCCTAAGGCAATATTGTATGAGTGGAGACAGTGGAAAAATTGTAGATTGGAATGTGTAGTATGAGCTTGTAGGTAGTTGTTACAGGGCAGGGATTTGATGAGGAAAATATCTGTTTGTGCGACAAACATTTGGAGTTATATGTCAAATGGTAATAAACGACGTGTAGTTTTTTTTTACATAACATTTATTTTGCAAGAGCAAAAGAAACACTTGTTATCAAAAATAAAGCGGCATTGAATGGTGTGTGGCATGTAGCTCTGTTGAAGTTCCTCCTCTTCAGTTCCTCAAAACAGACTAAAGCTATTTGTTGGAAACAGATTCTGTGTTTTCATAATAAAATTTTGAATTTTGGGGGGGTGTAGTCATTTACATTTCAGTAATCCAAGGCAGACAGAATGGCAGTGAATTTTTAACTAGACATTAAGGTGGGCAAACCTGCATTTAAGGTCTGATGTTTTGCCATAATAGTTAAACTAACAAGTGCCATGAAAGATCCATTGGCACTATTTGCTGTATTTACAAAAAAAAAAGTTAGCAAATTATTTGATTTCAAGGCTTCAGGTGCACCTTCTGATAAGATGAACGAGTTCTTATTTAAATTGGAAAGGTGCAATTCCTATCCAGTTTGGAAGCTCATGGATACACCGTTTTAAAAGCAACTTACATGGCTATAATGTTCTACTTTTATTCTGAAAAGCCTTTGCAGACAATCCTGATCCGCAGATCTGCTTGTGGGATAACTTCTCTGAATGACTTCTCTTCTGCAGGTCCCAGCAGAGATGGCACAATTGGTGAAGACACTATTCGAGCTTCACTGATTTCGGCTGTCAGTGATAAGTTGAGATGGCGAATGAAAGAAGAAATGGACCGTGCTCAGGCAGAACTCAATGCCTTGAAGCGCACAGAAGAAGACCTGAAAAAGGGTCACCAAAAGCTTGAAGAGATGGTAACTCGCCTTGACCAGGAAGTGGTAAGCAGAATGAGTGCCTTGCCAAGCATGTTTATCCTTTATATATAAAAAAAGAGCTATCAAATGTTGGGCACATGATGTCCTACTTCTTGTCTGATACAACTTTTGTAGAGCTGTGACTGAAACTTTTTCTTTCCTTGTAGTAACTCCTGCTACCATTCCACTCAAGCACTGGACAATTGCAAGGATTGGAGGCTCTCCATCCTTTTATTTGTTTCTTACGTATGCTTATAAAAATCTTACTCCTAGGGAGTTGGAAGACCCTCAGGGTTAGCCCGGAGGGCAGTGGGAATGGGGAATTGGTGAAAATCTTGCACAAGCAAAATTGGGCATAGGATCTGTCCCAGTAGGATTTTTTTTAAAGGCGGTGAAGACTTATGAAGGTGTTTGGGGCCAGTTATGTAAAATGTCCTTTTGCTCCCACCGCTTCTCTTAAATGTTCTGCAGTGGCCATAATGGAAATGTGCTTGAATCCTAGAAACCACAGTCAGGTAGCGCCAGATGTTTTGTCCTTTCCCTCACAGTCCTTCACATACAACCAATGTTCCCTCTAAGCTGTGGAGTCTTGTGAGCAAAAATTCTACTTTGTGAGCTACCGGCATTAAAGTTGTGAGCCAGTGATTTGGCTCCTGCATAAATTAGTTTGCTCTGGAGCCCTCCTTCCTGAGCGAAGACAAAAAAGTGTGAGCCGGAGGCAAAAAAACAGTGACCTAGCTCACACTAACTCAGCTTAGAAGGAACACTGCATACAACAGTGGACCATTTGTGTGCATCATGCATGGCTGTGAATGTGAAGAGTGGGATTTTGTGGACCAGGCACAGTGCCATCACCACAGTTTGTCCTGTATTTCTTTACAAAGTCAGTAAAAGATGAGGATACATGAATTTTTTGGGGGGGGGCGGGGGATGTTGATGCAAGATCAGTGAGATAGAAGTTAGAAAGGCTCACTAAAAAGGAAGCTGCAATAATGAATAATGAAGTCCCAGATAATTCCCAGATAGATCATGAGGAGAAAAAGAAGCATGCAACTGAAGACACATCAACTGAATCCCTCCGGGTGCCGTTAGGTAGTCCCGCCCCTAATACGATATATATATGTGCCCATAGATAGGGATAATACAAACTATGTAAGCCGCTCAGAGACCCATGGGAGGGGTTCGAGCGGGGTAGAAGTTGAAGGTAAATAAATAAAAATATGGGTGATGAGATGAATGGTCATTCAGTACTTACGTTGGAAGATTTTGGAAGATACAAAAGGGGATGGAATTGGCAGCTAGAATAGGAAGTCACCTGAAGGAGGTTATATTTCTAGCTGAGAGATACTGGAAAACATCTTAGTCTGACTGAGCTGGCATAAGGGCACCTTTGCTGGATCTGGCTAATGGTCCACATAGTGTAGACAGGGGTGGGAAATGGTCAGTAAAATCGGTAAAAGTCAGTTTTTTCATCCTGGTCAGTAATTTGTCAGTTTTTTTAAAAAAAATTGGTCAGTAAAGCCAGAATTTCTTTGATTTTTGTGACTGCAGTTTGTGTTTTTCTGTTTTCATTACTGCATTTTTGGGGAAACAAGGTGACTTCCCAGTGAGAAGGCAGACTGTTTTCCATTCAGTTATGAAGTACTTTAAGGACTTTGTTCCTAAGTGTAAAAATGATTTGGTGAAATCTTCCACAAGTTATAGAAACATAATTAACCTCTTAAAACATGAGACAATGAAAGTAGAGGTGATGGATATTGTGGGATTCAACATGGCACAGCTCAGTTTGGTGTAGTGGCTAAGTGCGCGGACTCTAATCTGGGAGAACCAGGTTTGATTCCCTACTCCTCCACTTGCACCTGGCTGGATGATCTTGGGCAAGCTGTAGTTCTGACAAGAGCTGTCCTTGAAAAAGAGCAGTTTCTGTCAGAGCTCTCTCAGCCGCGCCTACCTCACAGGGTGTCTGTTGTGGGGAGGGGAAGGGAAAGGAGTTTGTAAGCCGCTCTGAGACTCCGAGTGAAGGGTGGGATATAAATCCAATCTCTTCTTCTTCTTCTTCTTCATGCTAGAAAGAGTTGAGAAAGCAATGGAAGAAGAGGCCAAGGGGAAGAAATGCTTGTGGGTGCAGTGCAGAAAACTGTTGAGAAATGAAAGAATTCGTGAATAACTTTATTTATTTATTTATTTATTCATTCAATTTATACCCTCCCCTCCCCGCCGGAACGGGCTCAGGGCGGCTTACAAAGAGATTAAACATATAGGTAACAAATTATATACGATCTTAAAACAAATAATAAAACTCTGCATTATCATAAAGTGCTAGTAAGTGATCAGGTACTAATAAGAATTCTTACAGAAGGCAGAACCAATACTAGTGTTGTAATCAGATGATCTGTACTGTTGGTTGGCTCATCTTGGTCTCTATATTTAGGCCAACAGCACAGGCTGTTGGTGGTAAGCCAAGGACCAGGGCACTGTCACTTCTGTTATTTGATGTTATTTGGTGCAGCTCCTTAGTCAAAGGCCTGGTGGAAGAGCTCCATCTTGCAGGCCCTGCAGAAATGTAAAAGGGCCCTGATCTCTTCTGGGAGCTCATTCCACCAGTACGGAGCTACCGCTGAGAAGGCCCTGGCCCTTGTTGTGGCCAGCCTGGCATCTTTAGGACCTGGGAGGTCAATCGATTTTGTGACCCTGAGCGCAGTGCTCTCTGGGGAGCATGTGGGGAAAGGCGTTATCTCAGGTATGTGGGCCCCTGACCATAAAGGTCTTTAAAGGTACCAGCACCTTGAAGCAAATTCAGTATGCTATCGGCAGCCAGTGCAGTGCTTTCAGCACAGGCTGGATGTTGTCCGGCATAGAGAGGCCCATCAGAAGCCTGGCTGCAGCATTTTGCACTAGGTGTAGCTTCTGGATTTGGCTCAAGGGCAGCCCCATGTAGAGAGCATTACAGTAGTCCAATCTCGAGGTGACCATCGCATGGATCACTGTCGCCAAGTTGTTGCCTTCAAGGAAGAGAACCAACTGCCTAATCAGCCTGAGGTGGTAGAAAGGCTCTAGAATGGAAGTGTCATCCAAAAAGCTCTGTAGCTGAATTGCCACGGCCAGCTTTAATTAGCCATGATGGGCACGGGTTAAGGCAGCACGTGGTAGGGTGTACAGTTAAGAGCAGTTTGTCAACTTCTTCCAGGCTGAGCGAACTGAAATAATCCATAACCTGACTAGAAGATGTGCATGAAGCCTCAAGTTCACTCAACTGTGGTGGGGAGATCACGGCAGAGTGGCAGGACTTTATCTGCAAAGTAGCTCTCAAAGGCCTCACAGCCAGTGTCCAATTCCCTAATATTTGGTCTGCCTTGTGGCAGAACAGTCATAGACCGAATTATTCTAAATAATTGGGCTGGGCATGAGCTCGCATGATAGTCTGACTGCCATCTCATAGGAGCTCATAAATGTTTTATAACAGGCATGTCCAACTTCGAACAGGTAGTGATCTGTTTTTTCCAGCCAAAAGTGCCGGTGATCTACCACCATGAAAATAAAGTTTCAAATTAGTTTCAAATTAGATTTTAACCCACTAAAGTTGGGTTTCACCACCCCGCCCCTCATTTATAATGCACCTTCTGTCATTTACTGGTAAGCAAAATAAGCCAAAACAAAACAGAGAGACGAAGATCCAGAAAGAACTGCAAACCAGGAGACCAAGTGGGGCTGGTGATCTACTTCTGACCCTTCCGCGATCTACTGGTAGATCGCGATCTACCTGTTGGACATACCTGTTTTATAAGATATTCTTTTGGCTTCATCACTGCTGTCTCTCTAGCCATCTTAGCCTTCACTTCATCAGCCGCAACTCCTGGGTAAACCAAGGAGCCAGCCTAGAGTGAGGGCGCAGAGGGCGTCGGGAAGCGATCTCATTGATGGCTGCCAAGAGTCAGCTGTGCCAATCCTCCACAAGCTCATCTAACAAGCCGCCAGAGGGCATTGGATCTCGCAGGGCCATTTGAAGCCACATAGGGTCTATTTGGATCCATGGGCAAGCTGAAAACTGCTTGCCGCCCAAACAGGGTTGGGGTGAAACATTCAGATGGGCCTTCAGGGCATGATGGTCCGACCATGACATGATGGTCCAACCCGATCCACTGTGACCCTTGCCACGAAGATCAGATCGAGCGTGTGTCCAGCCTGGTGAGTGGGAGTCATTACATATTGGGAGAGTCCCAGCGCCACCACGGATGACACTAGGTCCATCACCTGAGTGGAGGCCACATCATCCGCATGGACATTGAAATCACGCAGGACAATCGGTCTAGGGTGTTCCAATGCCTAGCCCGACACAGCCTCCACCAGGGATGGCAAGGTTGCTGGCTGGTTCTTTTTTCATTAAAACACCAAAGATAAAGTACAAGCACAGACAAGTCTTACCTTACAGTAATTATGTTTTGTTGTCATAATTATTACTTTATGTTTGGTTTTTAATATGCTTTTGCTGTTTTGCTATTTTATTATCTGCAGTATGTGATTATTTTTAAAAGGGAATCTTTTTTTGCCTTAAAGTTTGTACAATAATGAAAACATTGTCCTCTATTCTTGAAAAAAAAATCAATAAAAAGGTGTTCAAGCCTTTTATCTGGGTCACATCTAACTATGGGGCTGGCTATGGGGATGGTGGAGGCCAGATAATAATAATTTTTAATGAAGTCCTAGTTTTACATTTAAAACGCTAGCTTATCAGTAGACTGGCATTAAATTGTTCAGTAATTTGTCAGTTTTTTGTCAGTATTTGGTCAGGTTTTTTTGGAATTTTGGTCAGTAAAATCAGTATATTGGAATCTCTGACTAGTTTCCATCCCTGTGTAGAGCTTACTACTTTCCAATAGTGGCCAACTAGTTGAAAGTTACACTTCTCAATTTTATAGTGAAGATCTTAGAAGAAGGCATACAACAGTTTCAAATTTTTGAACATGTTGTTAGAGTGAGACCCACTTCCTTGGATTTGACAATAAAGAGATTATCAGCCATATTAGGAAGAATTATCCTAGAAGAATAGAGCAAAGACAAAGGAAATCTGAGGGATAAACATTCAAGCATTAAGACATTCAGTTTGGGAGATGGAGATGATCTTTAAAGGAAGAGTGGTCCCGAGAGGGTTTGAACACAAAAGAGGAGAGCGGGAGATTTTGAAAGTGAGATTTGAAGGACATCTCTTTAAAATAATGTCTGTGTTTCAAAATACAGGTAACTTTCCTATGTTGTTTATGTAATGATATACAATGGTATAATTTTTAGACTGAAGTCGACAAGAACATTGACCTTCTGAAGAAGAAAGATGAAGAGCTGAGTTCTGCCCTGGAAAAAATGGAAAGCCAGTCCGAAAACAATGACATCGATGAAGTTATTGTTCCGATGGCACCTCTCTATAAGCAGATCTTGAACTTGTATGCTGAGGAAAATGCCATTGAAGACACCATCTTTTACCTGGGTGAAGCACTGAGACGTGGAGTTATTGATCTTGATATCTTTCTAAAGGTAAGTGTAGAATAGTCTGTCTGTCTGTAAACTGATGGTGGTTCTTCCTGGTTTTTGTTGGAAGCAGTCACTCTCCATTGTTTGTATGCATTTGGAGAAAGGAAGCATTGCTTTAGTGTTCTTTTATATATCCATTTGAATTTTATGTAGGTATTATGTATTTTATATTCTTCTTCTTGGGAATGTTCTAAATTGGCTGATCGCTTGACTGTATTAATAAACTTGACTTGGCATTGCAGGGAGGGCGGGGTATAAATATAATAAATAAATAAATTCTCTCACATCAAATTGAACTTTGTTGGTCTTGGAGGTGCCACTGGACTCCGACTTAGTTCTCACGTCTGTTAACTCTGTTATTATCCGTATGCTAATTTGCTGCCCTTCACAGGTCCAGTCTCAGCTTATACTTATCACCCAGTTACTTGTGCATTATTGGCTCTCGCCCTTCTTGGCAACTAACACGCACACACACACGCACACACACCCCCCACTCTCTACCTATATGTAAGACTTGAGAAAAACAGTTTCAGTGTATCTGAAGGGGTGTGCATGCACACGAAGGCTTATAGCCAGAATTAAACTTTTTTGGTCTTAAAGGTTCCGCTGGACTCCAACTTTGTTCTGTTGCTTCAGGCCAACACGGCTACCCAACCTGAATCTATTATAAACACAACTTTATTTTAGGGCCTTACCCACAGTGAACACCAGGAAGGGGCCAACTTATGCATGAGCAAAACCTTGCTCTCCTGTTTGTGTCCCACTTCCTGCTGGTCTTCCCATTTTCTTCCTGTCACCTGCTCCCTTTCTGCCCCTCAGCCCACAGACAATACCTGCTAAGGTGTGCAGGTGTTTTTTTAACAGGTATTTTTCGATTTGTGTGTATTGGACCTAAAAAATTTTAGGGAGTCCAAAAAAAATCCCAATACTGGTACGCAGGGGTCATTTCGTAGAAAAAGAGGTGCAGGAGCTTATTAGCATAACTCATTAGCATAGATTATTTGCATATGCCTCGTCCCCCTGACATCACCGGACGTGTGTCAGAAGGCTAGATACATACCTTGTATTGGCTCATCCCTACTCTTATGTAGGGATGCTTGAACAGATGCCAGTTTGGTTGCCATCCTGTTCACCAACTGCAAACAAGGAGCTGGTTTTTCATTGATAGGTTTGTCTGTTCACAGCTGTTCAGTGGGTTGCTTTGTTGTATTCCTTATGATGCAACTGATTGTTCCTGCATGCACATTCTCACAGCCTGAGCTCTACCCCCCACCCTCCACCACCCTCCCCTCCCCGCCATCCCATCCTTACTGTGCAACTGCTCTGCTCAGCAGGCAAGTCTTTAAACAGACAATTAAAATCAGTCACAAAACATTAAACAATCAGTTATAAATAAATGCTGTGTTTTAATAAAATGCCTACCCCTAGGTATTTATCTGAGTAGTCCCTAGTAATGCTAATGGCTGCCAATCCGTTTTAATCGGCCAATCTGTGTATGTGTGCAGTTTTGCAAAAACCTGATATAGACCTGTTCAGAAGGTAGTTGCAGCTGTTGGACAGAAACCAAACAGGCTGGATGATCAGCTTACATCTGATCAACACCTATATACTTGATAAAATTGACTGTCAGAAATGTTCATGGTAAAAATTGTAGCGATGCTATGCTGATCTTCAGCTCCATTGCTAGAGTTGTCCCTTGAGATAAGAACATAAGAGAAGCCAATGTTGGATCAGGCCAGTGGCCCATCCAGTCCAACACTCTATTACACAGTGGACAAAAATACCAGGTGCCATCAGGAGGTCCAGCAGTGGGACCAGGATACTAGAAGCACTCCCATTGTTGCCCCCTCCCAAGCACCAAGAAGACAGAGCATCACCTGCCCCAGAATTCCTTGTGGCTGGCTGACAGCCTCTCTCCACCAGATAAGTATGCCCCCGGGGAACAGCGGGGCGTAAGGAAAAGCCCAACCTGGGCTCTGTGCCAAAAAGAGGCTCAGCGGACGGTTCAGTTGGCGAGGAGGGAGAAATGCTTCGCAAGAAGCACGCAGGGTGCTGAGAGGATTCCCCACCAGCCCCGATCCCAGCCCAGGAAAGTCCCCAGTAGTCCTCCTCCATGCTGAGCCGACTCCCACTCAGTGGATTTCACTGGGACTGAACACACACCCCTCCCCCTTTTTCTGGTTTAGAGCAAGGACTGGACTTTCTGGGCGCACCCAGAGGTTGCCCCCCATCGGAGGGCGGGTGGGCAGGAGCTTCTTGTGACATGGCATGGCGGTGGTGGTAGGGACGAGCCCCCTTGAAAAGAGCCCCCAGCATGAAGACGGAAGAGGACCCGGCCCTTGTGTAAAAGGAAGTTCAGGCGGCGAATCAGTCCCAGGTCCTTCGAGGGGGCCATCGGTGTGGGAAGCGCCAAACAGCAGAATGGGGATTGTCCCATGGAGACTGTGGCTGCAGCGCCGGGTGGCCTCTCCGCTTCAAGGCGCAGGCAGCCCAAAGCATCCCCGGGGTCAAAAATTCCACCTGGGCCAGGAGCTCGGCTGGCTCTTGTGCCTGGAACCGGGTTGGTGGTGCCGGGTTGCAGGAGGCAACCTCTGGTTTTGCGAGGTTGGCTGGGCTGGAAGCAGGGTGGCGAGGAGGGAAGGGAAGATGGGAGTGTTGGGGCCTGGAAAAGTGGCTCTGGCTAGGCAGCATGAGCGCAGTTCCCTTCTCAGCTGGCCATGAGTCAGGGAAGTCCAGGGGTGGGCGGGAAGGCCTTTCCTCGGGCCCCACAGCAGGCTGCGGGCGGCTGGCCGTGGGCCAGGGAAGGACAGGGGCGGGCAGGCAGGCCTTTCCCGGGGCCCCTCTTCAACTTACCTTGTTTCTTCTTCCTCCTCGTGGCCTGAGGGCTGCTGGGAGCAGGGGGTGGGGCTTGCTGCATGTGCCCGCCCCCTGGGCTCCTTACTGCAGGAGCGTTGCTCCATTGAGCTCCGGCAGCAAATGAGGCCTGCTGGTATGGTATTCAGATCTGGTATTTTTGGGAAATCATGAATTTTTTGGGTCCAGTAGATCTGAGAAGAAAAATACTGCTCCCCACCAACACAGCTGACCCCCGGGTTATCTTCTTCAGTTCCTTTAAACTTTAAAAGGGCTGCAGTAGAAGCCTGACAAACAGCGTAGAGGCAGGAGCAATCTACTCCCACCTCTCCACTGTTTTCAGATCTATCTGGTAATCCCCGAATATATCCAGAATTCTTTTCAGGATTTTCCCCTCCAGTTTTCCTGAGAAAATACAGACACATCTGGGATGCCGAAATATACCTGAAAAATACTGATATGTTTTTTGGGGGGTATGTTTTCAGCTTGGGTAGATCCAAACACACAGCCCTACTAGCTGCTCTCATGATAATGTATCCCTTTCTGTCTTTGTTTAATGCACTCTGATTCATGTGCTTTTGAGCTAGATTGATGAGCGCATGTTTTTGTTCTTTCTTCACGTTCAAAAAGGGAGGCGTGCTTTAGGCCATAAATTTGATTACTATTTTTTTTGCCATGTCATTAACTTATCTCTGTGCGGCCTTCTTTTCATATTGTAATCTTGATGACTCTGAAACTGTTAAAAGGATATCTGCTTAGACTATGCATTGTGTGATATGCTTAAATAATTAGACATGACATATATAGTATCAGCTTGTGTAAGATTCTCCTCCTTCCCCAGTGATTTTTTCCCCGTCCTTTTATTTGGTCAGGGACCCAACCCAGTTGGTGCTGATTATAGCTACACAAACCAGTTTTTAACATTTTTGTAACATGTCTAATGACCAGGGAACAGAATTCTAGGCAGGGCTGTATAGATGGGACTAGCTAAGATGTTAAAATTAGCTGTTGTAGATTTTCTGGGTTGTATGGCCATGGTCTTACCATTGTAGGACCTGACGTTTCGCCAGTAGCTCTGACTGGCATCCTCAGAGGTATAACACAGAAAGATGGAGTACTCTCTGTGCCAACCTAGCAGTTCGAAAGCAAGATATTGCAAGTAGAATAAATACGTACCGCTTCAGTGGGAAGGTAACAACGTTCCGTGTGCCTCGGTGTCTAGTCATGCCAGCCACTTGACCATGGAAAGCATCTTCGGACAGCGCTGGCTCTTCGGCTTGGAAACGGAGATCCCTAGAGTCGGATTCGACTGGCTTTCGAGCAAGCGAAACCTTTACCTTTTACCTTACTAACCAGAACTGTACACAGTGTTCCAAATGAGGCCACACCATAAATCTGTACAAGGGCGTTAAAATATCTCCCATTTTATTCTCAGTCCCTTTTCCTAATAAACCCTAATGTAGAGTTTGCCTTTTTCACTGCAGCAGCACACTGGATTGACACTCATTGAGCTACCCACTACGACCTCAAGATCTTTCCCCCCCTGTCTCTCAGCAAGTTCAGACCCCACTAGCCTAAAATTGAAGCGGTGTTTTTTTTTTTGTCCCAGTGTGCATCACCTTAAACTTCATTTGCCGCATTGTCGCCCACCCACCTAGTTTGTGGGAGGTCCTCTTGGAGCTCTTCACAGTCAGCCTTGGTTTTCACCATCCTGCATAATTCTGGGTCATCTGCAAACATGGCCACAATATCCTGCTCATCCCTAGCTCCAGATCATTTGCGAATAAACGAAATCGTACCGGCCCCAATACCGATCCTTGTGGGACCCCTACTGCTTGCTTCCCTCCATTGTGAGAACTGTCCATTTATTCCTACTCTTTGCTTGCTGTCCTTTAATCAATGTTTAATCCATACGAGAACCCGTCCTCTTATCCCATGACTGCTAAGTTTACTCAGGAGTCTCTGGTGAGGTACCTTGTCAAAAGCCTTTTGAAAGTCCAAGTCTGTAATGTCGAGCAGGTCACCATTGTGTCCAATTGTGTAGCCAATTTCTGTTATTATACGGGGAGAGAACGTTGGGTGCCGCACAAGATCTTGTACAAGTGGAACTGTGCCGGATCCAAGCCAGGTTCTCTCTCTGGCTGTATTTGTAGCCAGGTTCTCTTGAAGGTGGCTCAAGCGGTTAAGATGCTGAACTTCAGGCTGTGGAAGGTCGGTAGTTCAGCAGTTCGAGACCCGAGTATGCCGCATGACGGAGTGAGCTCCCTTCTCTAGTTCCAGCTCCTGCCAACCTAGCAGTTCAAAAGCAAGAGATTGCAAGTAGATAAATAGGTACCACCCCGGTGGGAAGGTAACAGCGTTCCGTGACCACGGAAACATCTTCGGACAGCGCTGGCTCTTCGGCTTTGAAACAGAGATGAGCACCGCAACCCTAGAGTTGGATTTGACTGGCTTTCGAGCAAGGGAACCTTTACCTTTATCTCTTGAAGGATGTAATCTGGTCCTGCAGTTCTCCCACTGAGGCGGAGGACATCTCCATGGGTTATTCCCATCATTCCTTAGGGGGGCAGGAAACACTTTTTTCTCCTTCCTTTTGGCGCCTTGGGAATAGCCCAGCCCCCCAGTTCTATTCCTGCCTCATAGGGAGTAGCAGTGAAAGTTCAGAGTGCTACCTTTCACAGTGTTGGTTCTCTTACTGACTTTCTTTTTCCTATCTATCCTTCCTTCTCTATTCTCACTCCTAATCTTTAACTCTGTCTGACCTCGTTTTTTCTTTGCGACGAGAGTCAAGACCTGAAGGGAGTCATCCTATCTAGTCCGATTGGATCAAATGGAAGTATACAGCTTTAGTCTCTTAATGTGTGGGATTGAGTAATCCTGCAATGTAGATAACGGCCTTCTTTTTCTTTTCAGCATGTTCGCCTCTTGTCTCGCAAGCAGTTTCAACTGAGAGCACTTATGCAGAAGGCCAGGAAGACTGCAGGACTCAGCGATCTCTACTGACCGTCACGGCTTGGTGGGGGAAGTGGTGTTCAGAAATTCGTCATATTCTCATTTCCTTTACTTTCTAATCAGTAGGTAGCCAGAATAAGTTATTACATTATTCAATTGTAAAATATTTTGAATGGATAATATATTTTCTCTTTTTTTCTTGGTTAAGGACTAGCTTTTATTAATGCACTTTCTATTCTCTGTAAACCTTTTTGCATTGGTGGTCTGATGGCTGAATAAAACTTGCGTAACACTTTTCTCCTCGTACTACATATATGTGTGAATACTGTTTCTGCGCTGTCATGTTTGTCCTTACGGAAATATCAGCTTAACACACATTGTACGTTGCAACGACACGGAGGTGGTCTCAGCAATGTCTGCCGCTAGAAATAATCCCGTCTGTGTATTTTTTGTATAATGAAAATTAGTAGGATGCTGGGATAAAATGTTCGTTCTTATTCAAAAAAGTTGTCTCGCAGCCTGATCCCACGTCCGTGGTGTCTCCACTAAGAACTACCGTATTTTCCGGCGTATAAGACGACTGGGCGTATAAGACGACCCCCAACTTTTCCAGTTAAAATATAGAGTTTTCCAGTTAAAATATAGAGCTGTGCTGATGCTTCTGGCGTACCGGCGTATAAGACGACCCCCCACTTCTGAGAAGATTTCCCTGGGTTAAAAAGTAGTCTTATACGCAGGAAAATACGGTATGTCCCATTTCATTTAGTAGCATTTGTCTGGCTTTTGCTTTATTTGGGGGGATCTTTCTATCCGGCCCCTCTCCCGGCTAGTTGAGGAAATCACTGCCTGTGTAGAGACAATGCCCAACCCAAATTCAAGATGTGTTTTGACTGAGATGTTACACGTGGAGAGTGAATCCGGGGTGGAGCAGCGTCTCTGCACCCCACCAGATCGGACCAGCGTGCCATAAAACCTACCTCTGATTCAACATGTTTGAGACAGTCAGACCATCCTAATTAATGCATTTGCTTTAAAAAACGATTTGAAAAACTTTTGCTCTAGCATGGGTTTTGCATTAGTAGTAGCAAAGAAAAACAAGCATTGGTGCTAATGTATGCCGAATACCAGATTTGGGGGTGGGGTTGGAGACAGAACTGTACCCCCACCCAAGACTGTGACATCAAAAATATGACATTGGCCAAGTAAGTGCCTAAAATGAGACTTCCCTACTGTAATTCAGCTACTCAGGCAACTTTCCTGCTTACATAAGGCTGCTTCATAGAACCTGTGAGTGCCAACATTCCAGTTTCTTTGCCATTTAGAATAGCACCAGGTATGTGTAGACAATTTGTCCCATCGCTTAATCCTACTTCTGAGTGACTGAATTTGGTCACTCAATTGAAGCCCATCCACTTAACAGGGCAGCAAAACAATTACCATCAAGACTACTTGTATGTTTTTTTTTTTAAAGGTATGGAAAAGCAATCCCAAAGGAGCTTTGTGTTCTCATTCTTGGAGCACTAGGCTAGATGTTTGTAATGCAGCGGTTTTAGATGGTTGTCTGCTGCTGGAATGAGAGAACCTACTTTTCCCCCATATGCCCTGTAAACTAGTATTCAGGAATGTTCATGTATGTTTTCCTCAAGCCCCTTCTATGTTGAGATGACTTAATCACAGAAATATTGCCTGTACTTTACCACCTTAAAACTAACAGTTTATTCCGACATAAATTCTCATGCTGGAATAGGTTGTAAGAAATCATAGGACTGCTGTTTTCGTTTGCTGCTACTGACTATCCACCTGAAATGATCCTTAGGGTGGACTGTAACACTTGTCACAAACAGGAGAACTGGCTGTGCATGTACATTTCAGATACTGAGTCTTGTACTTAATGCAAGCCTTTTCTCATACTATATGTTAAAAACTCCCATAGCTAGCATTATTGCTCCTGGTGTGCTTGAATTTAAGAAGATGGTTAGACATGGAGCAGATGAATGTTTCCTTGACCCCTGGGTCTGCTTTTTCAGGCACAAAACTTTCCCCAACCGTTAGTGAACTTTCTAGTTTGGGAAGACCCGCAGGCTGGCATGTACTAGAAGGCAGATATTATACAAAGTTAGGCTCTGGTGCATGCTGTGCATGTTTCAGGTTTTGTATTCCAGACTAGACTGAAGAGAAACACAAGCAGCAGTTCAATGTTTTATTTTGTGTGTTGTTGTTGTTTTGAGGGCTGGTACTACAGTTGGACAATTGCAGCATTTAATTGTTGCATACAGAGGCTTTACTTGATGGTTATGACACTATTACTGGAGTAGGAGTACACAAAAATAAGGTTCTCTGAAAGTATACACCAAGACTCAAAGCAGCAGTATCAGGGGAAAAAATACATTTGGAGGTGCTCAGTAGTGGTGACTTAGATCATTGGTCAGCAGAGAATACATTAGGTCAGTATTTGCTGATCCTTTGGTTTTGCTGTTTTTGAAGACCAGTTACTAGTCCTTCGGCAGTGAGATTAAATTTAGCTGACGAAAGGCGGAAGGGTTTCATCCGGCAGTGCTGTTTCAGGGTATGCTGGATCTAAAGTTTTCCTAGTGCACAGGAAATAATTTTGTTCATAATTTTAGTTCTGTATGTGTTTCTAGCTGATACATCATAAAGGAAACTGACATACGTGAAAGTGCAACAAGACAGCCCTCTAAGACCCACTGACACTAATAAGCAGTGAAAGGGATATAGGGGTAACAGGCTTAAAACTGGAGCTCCTTTTGAATTCCCCAGAGTGTATCTGCACTCTTCCTCAGCTTATCTTCTTCCTCAGGCTTCAAAGTAATTTTCACCACATCTGTAATGCCCGAGTAACCCAGGACGCAAGGAACGCTTAAGAAGACGTCATCTTTAACTCCGTGCATGCCCTAGGAAGAAGAAACCAGGCCAGGTTAAGTCACAGAAAATAAGTCTTTCTGAATAATAGGTTTCCTTTAATGGGTGGGTGGTATGGTATTACCCAGGGGGTCAAAAATGGTGTCTACTTGGGTACTAAATCCCTTCATTTAGCCAGACCAACTGCTTCTTCCACAGCTGCCTTGGCTTTTCATCGAGCGCTGTAATAAAGACTTGCAAGCTGTCACTAAAAGTACGTCCAAAGTATGGAATAACTCTCCGTTTCTGTCAGACTTCTTAATATACCTTGGAAGACTCGTACACCAATTAGTATGTATCTTGTCTAGATGATGTTTGCTTGATGCACAAATTGCACAGAGGGGAAGATACGAAAGTCAGCCAGTAAGTTTTATGAAACAGACTCAGTTACTGGAGACAGCTTAAGTTTTATCACACCAAAAATATATATCAATGGAGCTTTTTTAAAGTAGCTGTTCTTCAGTTCTGCTATTATGACTTGGGACAGAATTGGCTTATATAGCCTCTAAAAATTTAACTACAAAATTAGAGCCTCCCTTCCTTACAAGGTAGCTGATAAGAGATGGAAAACTGCTAAATTAGCTACACACCTTGTTCATTTAAAAACTAATATAATTTTACAAAGATTTGATCTTCTTGGATGCCTTTTATTAAATTCATGATTGTTAAGATTTGGATATAAAGATGCAAGTCATGTTCATGTTTGGTCATTTGTATTGCATACTTTTTGATGTATTATAATTGATGTTGACACACTGACTTTGTATTTTTAAATATAATAAATAATTAAGCAAAGTAGCTGTTAACTGCACCTACTCCTAGCTGTTGTTGCTAACTTCTACAGTTAACTGCCAGATGGGACTGCCAATTCTGTGCTTTAGCAACCCTGTTTCTTACCTTCACCATTGTAGAGACTGGGTGCACTCTTCTCAAATTCTTCATGATGGTTTCAGCGAGATCTGCCACAGAAAGACCGATTGCCCAAGATGTGTAGCCCTTCAGCTTGATAACCTCATAAGCACTACGGAGAAAATGGGTTAGAGTTGGTCAGCATTCGCACCACTTCTAGTCACTTTTTTGTTGTTTCTTAAATATACACTTTATTTATTTATTAATCAGATTTATACCCCACCCTCCCCCGTAGGGCTCAGGGCGGCTTACAAGGCAAGAAATCTTGCAACAATAAAACATACTATTCCTATAATTAAAACATACTATACAATTTAAAAACCTAGTACAATTAAAGTGCTCGATGATCTTCAATTTCAAAAACCCCAGAAAAGATGGCGGACCACGTCCAGAAGTTCCCAGTAGTCATTCAGTGGCTTCAATATTCAGATGTTAAAGAATTCAGATGTTCCCTTCCTAGGGCCTCTTCCACCACCCCCCATGATGACAATATGGCGGGGGGGGGGTGGCCCCTACTCGAAAGTCTGGTGGAAGAGCTCCGTCTTGCAGGCCCTGCGGAACTGCATCAAATCCCGCAGGGCCCGGATCTCCTCCGGGAGCTCATTCCACCAGGTAGGGGCCGCCACCGAAAAGGCCCTGGCCCTCGTTAACTTTGTAAGTTAAACTAAGAAGACGGGGACGGCAAAGGATGAGATGGTTAGACAGTGTCATAGATGCAACAAACATGAAATTGAGCCAACTTCAGAGGACGGCGGAAGACAGGAAGGCCTGGCGTGATCTGGTCCATGGGGTCGCAAAGAGTCGAACTCGACTGTGCGATTGAACAACAACAAAAGTTAAACTAAAAAAAAGTAAAATTATATTAACTAAGATCAGAAGTGAACCAATGTAAAGTAAGATCTTTGGGGCCACCTAAAGCAAAAACATTAATGGATCATAATAGCAACAGACTGGGGGGGGGGTGTCTTAAAGCCCTAGGAACAATTTCGTTCTGGGCAAGATACTTAAATGCAAGGAACCACTTCCTTTTAAAGTCTTTGTATAATGAGATGTTGTCGTCAGAGTAACCAACCTGGGCAGTGATCTTTTTCCATTATAAATTGTTCCCAGATTTTGTGGTGCCAAACTGAAAGGGTGGGACCTGAAGAAAACTTCCAAGCCTGAGCTATCGTTCATTTGGCCACAATCAGGAGAGTAGCGATGAGGTCGGGAGTTCCAGTCCAGAATGTAAACTTTATTTTTTTTTCTCTCCAAATAACTTGTAGTTTCAAAAGTGTGATCTCTCTCCAGTAATTTAAAAACAGAATTTCTGGGGTTAGTAGGATTTTTCAATCAGTAACGCAGTGGATACAGGTTTGAATTTCCCTTCGGAAAGGTTGTAGCTGGGGGCAAAGCAGCCAGCAAAAGATAAGAACTTAAGGATCCACAATTTCTCCAACATTGAGGAGAATGAGAGGAAGCAACATGGGGAAGAGCTGCAACAGAGTCCGATACCAGTGGGCCAGAAGTTTAAACGTTTGGAGTTTCACATGACGGATGAAGTAAATGTGGAAGAGCTCCATACAGCAGACCGAGCCTTTTACAACTTTTTAAGTAACGTATCTCTGTGCTCCATCTCTGTGAGGTTCTTGGTCTTCTGAAGTTTCATATGGTATCTACAGCTGAACTTGGGTTTGGGGCTATCGGTTTCCATTATTTAACAAACCAAATCCCTAATGCCTTCATTTGTAAGATGAGTTAATCATGGGAAGTGGCAGTATAACAGTCACTTGTTCAGTTGGTTG